CTCCTAATTCATTCCCAATAACTCAATATGGCCCCATCTTTAAAATCCACGTGGGTCAAACAAGTCAAAAGTCAACTTTTGGTCAACCCAGACCAACTTTAATCAAACCACATGTCTATAACTCGATGATGTCCGAAAACATCAAATTAACCATTGCATTATATAAAGTCTCCATTCGGAATTAAAACAACCCACTAGTTATTGAACCACAATGACACTTTAATCCCATTGTTAAATTACTTAAAAAATATGATCCATTCAAAGTAAGTTACACTTTTGGTCCATGTGGTTGCCACCCACTATCAACTTTCGTCCTTCTTTTCAACTAATTACAATTTTAATCATTATGGTTGCCATTTTGCTTCACTTTTGATCGCTCAGACTCACTTATATTAAATAGGTCCATTAACTCAATGACATTTTGGTCCTTTTAAGGTTTTCATTGATTTTCAGTTACAAAACTAAAAAAAAAAAAAATATTATATCATTATTATCTATTATTATATTAATCCATATATACATATGAGCATAACCACACTGAAAAAACATGTCGATCTCCCCTCCACCTTTTTCGGAGAAAGAAGATAGCCCAAAGCGAAAGGCCTACAACCAGAGCCAAGTAGACAAATAGCCTTGCTTGGACCAATCCACCTAACGATTACCCCTCACCTCTTGCAGATAAGGGTGTGCAAAACCCGAATGGTCCGTAATCCGAACTGAAAATAAAGTGTTTATGCGAAACCTGAATGCCTCGAAATCAGAAAACCGACTTTTTGGAGAAATTTGGGTTCGGGTGGGTTTGATTATTGGCCACCTGATACATCGAAAAACCCGATAAATAAATATATATATATACACACACACACATATATATATATATATATTTTAAATACTATATAAATATATTTATTTATCTAATTATCCTTTGAAGTTTCTAAAAATCCTAATCGGTCGTGCTTTTTTAAAAAATTTTAAGCATACTATCGATTTATCAATCCTCTCAATCGATTGAATTCATCCTCAAAATCGGTTGAATATATTATTTTTTGCATTATGAATAAACCCGTACATGACCAACCTGAACTCGGAACCCGACCAACCTGAACTCTAAGCAATCCAAAACCCAAAAATTGAGTCTTGATTTCCACATTCGAAATCCGATCGGGTTTTTGATTTTCCCACCCAAACCCTCCCCACCCGATTGAAACACATTGGCGCTCCCTCCCCTTTTTCTCTTTGTCATCGTGGAAGATCCATACTTGCCAACCATCTACGACTCTGACACCCATCTCTCTCCCCCTTACTCTCTTATGTCTCTCATTCTCTATTCAGTCCTTTACTCTATTTAGTCCTTTACTCTCTTCGGCCAACATCATGGAAGCACCGAGCACCATAACTATCGCTCCTCCAACCACTACTGCCTTCTTCCCTTGTTCTCTTTCTCGCTGTTGTTTGCCAACTCTCATCACTCACACTTGCAACCCCGGATATGGATTCTAATCCTTGTCCGGTGGTCTTCATTGAGGAGTGGTTTTTTGTTTCGATATGGGTTCCCCACCGTTGTGATAACTAGATCTTGGTTATCACCCAAGGTAATTAATGTATGTGATTATTTGATAAATGATTTCGTGATAGCGTGATAAATTATTATATTCGATCATGTTAATATGTGAAATTATGTACATAAATGAGTATGCATCAAATATGTGGATATATATATATATATATATATATATATATATACATACATAAGGCATGCATGAGAGGTTATGTATATGTGATTATGCATGTGTGAATACAAGAGTTTACATGCATGCATGATGATTTCATGTGTAAACATGCATGTGGTGAACGGCTGTAATAGCCGACTTTCCCTAAAGGGAAGGGTATAAAAGGAGGGGTAGCCTCTATTTTCAGTTTTCTTACTTCTTTTGGAGCTTGGTTGATCGATTTAAAAAGTAAGAGAGATTGAGCGAATTGCCTGTTGACTGATTTCAAGAAGATTGGATTCATCTGTTTTTCAAAAAGAATTGCTTAAGGTGAGTGGTTAAAATGCTTTGAACCATTTTGTTTGCATCTTGAATTATGTTTTTAAAGTTTTATACCTATTTTAAGTTTAATTCGGCTATGTGTTGAACGATTTATACATTAAACCGGATGAAGGGTAAACGATTTAAGGTTTAAATCGGACAAGGCTTAGTCGATTTAGATTAAACCGGATAAGAGGCATTATATGAAACCTGGTTGATTCAAATGTATGTTATTTGAATAGCTGAATCTTGGCTTGAAAAGGGGAAGGAACTGGAATATGCCCCCATTTGTTCATATATTGGTTATATATATGAAAAGTTGTTTTATTTAAAAAAAGTTTTGGTGATGATCACCCTGCAATAACTTAAATAGGGTAACTCACTAGACCTTTCGGTCTAACCCTCGTTTTGTGATTTTAATTATGTATTGCAGGAGGTACGGACGGTAAGGGGAAGGGGAAAATGTGATATTTTCCTAAATGTTTATCTACATGAAGATTTGTTTATAATGTATAGTTTTGATTGATGTACGATGATTAGTACAAGAAATGTATATTTGAATTTTTGAGACATGTATTATGTATGGTAATTTCTTGTACTAAGGGACCTAAGTGGTGTATAAACATGTATTTCTTCCGTATGAAGTATGTGTTACATGCAATGCGTGGTATGGGGTATTACAACCGTAAACCCACACCTTCATCAGTGGGTATTTTTGTTCCAGTCAGCATGATATTCTCTTTTTAATCAAATCTTTTAGTTTCCAAACTTGTTCTTGCTCAAACTAGGTTTTTTTGGAACATGCCTCTTTTCTCATTCCATCTATCCTACTGGGTTTGTTTTAGAAACCTCCTTCATGAATAATCCTTGTGATTTGTGCAGATCGATGCTTCGTGTAGGTTTTGTTTTTGATTTTAGAATTAGGTTTTGATTTTGCATTTGGACTTGATTTTGGAATTAGTTTCTCATATTATATTTGGGTTTGGTTTTGGAATCAGGGTTTATTTCTAGATTTGTGTTTTTGATTTTGGAAATCAGGTTTTGAGTTTGGTTTGAGTTTTTGACATTGGATTTAAGATTATTAATATAGGAATTGAGTTTGATTTTGGATTTAGGGTTTTTGATTTTGAGAATAGGTATTTGATTTTTGAAATATTTTGAGGTTTAGAATCGCCGGAGAAGATGACTAGAGAGTTTGTCGGAGAAGATGATCAAAGAGTTCGTCGGACTGGGGCGTTGAGGGGGTGGGTTGGGATTGTGGTGCATCGATAGTGTTGAAAGATATTCATAAGTTTTCAATCTTAACTTTTGGTTATGTTTGCTTATTTCATGCAAGGTTGTAAAAGTAGGGGGCTAAAATGTTCATGATCTGACAGATAAAGGACTGGAGGGCTGCGCCTCACTTCTCTCAATTTCTCAGGGTTAGCGGAGCAATTCTCTTATTGTTCAAGGTGTTTTGTGAAACTTTTGAGCTTAAATATAAAAAGACTTGTTTCCAGTTATTTTCTCATAATTCTCATTTCATTTTTGTATTTTTCTTAAAGGATCTCAACAGTCGTCTTCTCTCTTTAAATTTAGCTTATGTTTTGTATCCTTCTTAGCTATCTTAGCTAAGATTTATAGATTCTTTGTAAGTTCTGTCTCTCTATTTTACTTTTATCAATAAAAGGTGGTTCGATTTATAGATTTGTACAAACAGGCTGTACAAATGCTTTAAACATTTGTGCATTGAAATTTAATTTAAGCTCTCTGAAAAATGCTTTACAACCAAGCAAAAATCTTCCCAGGGACGAGTTGTAAGCAAGACACCTTAAACCATAGCTAAGACGTGACTTAAATCAGCCAAACATGAGCTTCCGTAACCCTACCTGCGACTGCATCACCCAACACAAACAAATAGTATGGAGACCCAAACCGTGACCTTAGATCACAGGCTTGGTCGTGCACGCCGCATTCTGGACCCAACCGGGCATTTCCTGTGCCAGGATTTGTGTGCTTATCAAAATCCAACAATAAACGCCATTTATGGTGGTTCAAATATTTGTGGATTAACTTACCTTACAGAGAAGAAAAGAACCAATGAACACATATCTAAGACTACAANAAACGCCATTTATGGTGGTTCAAATATTTGTGGATTAACTTACCTTACAGAGAAGAAAAGAACCAATGAACACATATCTAAGACTACAACTCCAAACGAGGCTACGCCCTTGTACCATGGGGATCTAGAGTCGATGATAATTACTATTGATGACAACAATCTCTAGACCCCTATAACCAGCACCACAAGAGTTTGATAATCTCCCTAATGATCAACAACTGTAAAACCAAGAAGGTGGTAGTCGATGAGTGAGCTCTATGAATTTCCTATTCAAGAGCACCGTTGACCTTATGGATTGGAATATGCTAGCATAAAACTAGAAACTCGACCGCCCTGTAGGGTTCAGTGGTCTATTATGCATGGCATGCTAGCAGGTGGTTTTGGATTCGTCTAAAAATCTTGCTCCAACCCATTTGGTAAGCAATTGTGTAGGTAAATGGTTCTATTTAAATTGTTGGAGTATCACATCAATTAGACACACATTATTAAACTTGTATATACATGTAGGTGCCTCTTCATTCTCTATAATGACTCTTGTGAAAAGAGATTTAAAAAGGAGGAGAGCAGGAGGGAACAGTATAATCTATTTATCCAAACACTCAAAAGTGCTTATTACCGGTGCCACACCGGAATAAGTCAATAAGTTGTTTTTATAAGCAATCCCAAACACCCCCTAAATGTGAATTTCATTCTAAAACATATGTTAAATGTTCTTTTACATAATAAGGAATATTTTGTCACAATCTATTGGTTTTGCTCCATTACATACGAAACAACTTGCATTAATCGACTCATTTGATTGCAACATATATAGTAATCGAACATGATAATAGAACGATAACGACCCAAATCTAACACATTATTACTTAAAAATTTACGGTTGATGAGTATTTTTGGCCAGGTGCAAAGTTTAGAGGAATCACATTAGTTGCAACTAGGGTTTTCCCATCAGCAGAGGTGAGCCTAAAAGAAAATGGAGGTTTGTAAGATGGAGCAATGTCTTTTTTCCAAACTGCACCCCATATGTTATCCATTGCAGAATAATTTTGAGTACCACCAGCAGCTATCTCCACATGACCAAAACCACCATCCCCATTTGCATATTCGATTGCCATTGCGAACCAGTTTGGGTTGCTTTTCTGGCTAACTTTAAACGCAATCTTTGTACTTCCGTAACTGCATGGCACCCTACCAAAACCCAACATTCCTCTTTTCAACAATCAGAGAGTAATTAATCTTGGTATATAGTGGGAGTATATATTACCCTTACAATAAAATGGACCTTTTAATTAATGGGACTTTAATGACGTTTGTAGGACAAGAAATCAACAATTTTCTGATCTCAAAATGATGTTAATTAAGCAGCTTATGATCTCAACAATCATGCATTCGTTCATTCTGGAACGTACCTTGGGGATAGATGATGGACAAGCCATTCGACATGATGCAATATTTTTGAAAGAAAATTCTATCTAAAGATGTTAATTAAAATAAGTTTTTAAAACAATATTAGGCGATCTAATTACAAATTTTGTGGACAAAGTTGGACAACCTAGTGGGACACAAAAGGTAAACCGTCCTTTTAGACGACTCTTTTGAAAGTGTCATATATTTGAGCAAAAGGTTAATTACCGGCAACCCTGACTGGCCCCACATGGAACCCGCTAGCTAGGAACCATAGGTGAGTAGGCATTTCAAGCTAATTCAGTAGTTGAGGCTAGAAGAGGGGTTCAAGCTCGCCTCCGGCAAGATTCAAACTTGAGTCTTTTGTGCATTTTAGGGAAGTCACTTTACACCTTAACCAACGGAGCTACATGTCCGAGGGCTTGAAAGTGTCATATATACGTAAGACTAATTAGACAATTTTGTAAAGTGACATAAAAATATTAATAGGATGATTTGCTTTTTATGTCATGTTTGGTTATCCAACTTCATCGATATATGTTAGATTATCTCACTTCATCCTATCAACTCATTGTAACACATTTAGATGAGACATCGATTTTTGGTCCAATAAACCTAAAAATCCAATTAAGTTTTCTATTAGGACATGTAAGGACAATTGAGCGTCCTAAAAGAACCACTTTGTTGTAGTTCACAATCCCAACATAATTGCACGTACCTTTTGTATTGCACATCAACCTGACCAAGTTTTCGTAAATTCTGCTCTTGGCCAGGATTTGCCATCTTACCAAAAGCGAACCCGCTTAAATCAAAATGAAAAGGTACTTTGTTACAATACCCAGGACACTCATCACTGATGGTCACTGTAATTGGTTTGCCTGAGCAATGTGGTGGTTGTGTACAAAATATCTGCACATGTATTTGCAATCTATTAGAGTCTCAAGTCAGCTAGACTTGTATTATTAAAATATATGTTAGAATGTAATTTTTTTTGTCCTAAAGAGCTTTTATGAAAAGTATTATGATGAGCTTCTTCATATGTCACACAACCCGTTGTTACATTAATTGATCAACGAAAGGAAAATTAAAATAATCATCCTTAACCTCAAAACAATTTCCGCATCCCTTGCCCTTCAAAAAGATGTTGGCATTTCCTGCTGATATCATCGACGACAATGGAGGATCTTTCACATCATCCTCCCATCCACAAGCCGCTCCTGCTCATAATCCCAGAATTAAAATAATTAATAAACAATCATTGTGGATTTTCCTGGTCGTCATTTTCAGGGTTAGTTAAGATGTATGTAAGGTGTCCAGATACTCGTGGCTAACACAAAAGAATGAAATGAACAAGTTAATGTAGCATTTCATTATCATGTTTGATTGGAGTGATTGAAGAGAAACTATAGGTTCTGCAAATAAAAATCTTTCTTGGAAACATGAAATATTCATTTCATTACCGCTACCGGGACCGGTTTCATTCCCATACCATGTTGCCAAACCAGTACTATTACTGGTGGGGAGGACAAAACACAAACAAGAAGAGAAGGTAAGCAAAGAAATGATAACAACTATGATAAAAGGAGTCGAAACCATTGTATATGTTTAACACTTTGTTTTTGTGGAGAACCAAAAGAAACACACGATCAACCCTTATACCAAATCCGTTAAATGCTAACTAGTAGGAGGTGATAACTACTTATAAACCTAGAATTATATATATATATATATATATATATATATGAGCGATCAAATGAAAACCACTCCAATTTGTAAAAACCGTAAAAACTACTCTCATCCATCGTTAATCTTATGAAATTTTTTCATGAAATTGTTAATCTTGTGAAATTGTTTCATATAGTACTTTTTTTGATGAAATTGTTTCATATGTGATTATGAAATTGTTTCATATACTACTTAATGAAATTTTAATGAAATTGTTTCATGTATTTCTCTAAAATTAAAATAATGAAGATGATAATATCCATGATTAACACCCTCCACAATAAAAATGGTTAATCAACCTCTCATAATTACAAAAAAATGAACAAAATGAAAAATTATGATTGGTTGAATGAGGTTTTCACGGTTTTTACAAATTGAGTGATTTTTATTTGAACCCACCCCTATATATATATATAGGGTATATTTCTTTTACAACCTTGTGTATTTGTACAACCCAATTAATTGAGATATTTATAGAAATGATGTGAGTTCATTTATTATGATTTGAATATTTATGGAATATGAATAAAGTTCATTAATTATGATTAATACTTTATATTAGGAAACAATCAAAACTTCTATGAAATCACATATTCATCAAATGAAATGGACGGTTGAAATTGGGTTGTATTGGTTGCACAAATGTCAATAGTTGTATAATAACCAACCTCTCTCTCTCTCTCTCTCTCTCTATATATATATATATATATATATAAATGAAACTATTTCTGATATTCATCCTTACTTCCCTACGTCTCTCAAATGTTTTGATTGTATAACTTCTTATTAGCATGTACAACAGATTCTTCAAAATACAAAAAATAAAGATTTTATAATTTTCAATCTCTTTTTTATTGAATAGATCTTTCTAAAATTTCTTCAAAATAGAGAAAGTAAGAAAAAGGGTAAACATCTTCAAAATTTAAGGAACTCTTTGAAATTAAATGTTGAATAATTATCATTTTATATAGAGTTTATTTAAAAATTGATTGTAATAATAAATCAACTTAATATTTTAATAATATGAATTATATTAAATCTTTAAAATGAAGAAAATGTTGTTGAAGTGGAAAACATAATTTTTCTTGAAATTTTAAATCTACTACTCTATATAGAAAAAATTACAAAAAAATATATTGGAGTTGCTCAAATGAATTATCTTTCTCAACTCTGATCATCGTATAGGAATTCATTTTCATTAATGATATGCTAACTAATGGATTATTACGATTTCTTAAAATTGATTATTCCAAGTCTACTACTGTCTTGATGAACCGTTGGGATTAAGCCATATGAAACTCTAATTGGATTTTCGGTCTTTTCCTCATATAAACAAAGCCTTCATCTAACATAATTTCTGAATGGACCTGGCATCTTCCCAACTACTTTTTATTTTCTATTTTATAAGTGTTATGGATATAATGTTATTTTCTAGCAATATTAGCTTTTGGTTTAAAGAAGATGGTGACAGAGGTTGTTGTTGTAGGTCTAAATTCATGGCTAGTGGTGGTGTGATGGTGATGTATAGATGAGAAGAAGGGACAGTGAGGGTGAAACTAAGGCGAGAAGAGGTGGCTGAGTGGTGGTGCAATGGTGATGGGAGGCTACAGTTGATGGTTGGAGATGGCAAAGGTTGGTGTATAAGGATGGAAAAGAATACGATGGTGGAGATCAACAAGGAAGAGGTTGTGGAGACTGGTTTCAGTCGTCAGAAAGAGACAAGGACTGAAGATGAGTTCTAGGTGGTCAACGAAGAGGGAAACGTGGGGAAGATGAAATTTTTTGAGGAAGGGTAGGTGGACATGCGACATGATTCTAGTAGATGGATTTAAAAAAATTAAGAGAAAATAAGGCAAAAAGATGAAAACGACTTCACCGTTAAAAGTTAATAGACGTAGTGAGAGGAACTTATTTCGAGCATTTTAGCAAACTGCAATGGCTAAGTTGTAGTTTAAACTTTGGGGACGAAAACTAAGAAAAACTAAAAATCACAAGGACCAAAAAGTTGAAATTTACTATTAATCATATTATAGAGTGAATTATTTTTTGGTCCCTTAACTATAGCTGCTTTCTAGTTTTCGTCCCTACATTTCGTAAACTATATTGGTGGTCCAAATTTCATGTTTCGGAGCCTAAACTAATCACTCCACTTTTTAGGAGGCTCTGTGAAGTCAATGATGAGCCCCTCACATGAGGGTTATTTTTGTTTTTTGTCCCTAAATTTAGAGTACATTACTATTTTGGTCCCTTATCTATGACTATTTTTTGGTTTTCGTCCCTACAATACGTATATTACATTGTTAGTTAATTTTTAGTGTTCTGAAGCCAAAATGGTCCCTCCTCCAACATTGTTTCTTCGCGAAACTCCACCCTCCTTGAAACCACTATTCCTGAAACCATTCTTGCCTCCTCGATTTGAAATGTTGAACCACACCATCACAAGCATCGTCCCTAGGTTTCTCAACCATTGTCAAACACATAAGGGTGAAAACCCATGTTCTTGAAAGCCCATGTCCAAGAACAGGGGTTTTCATGAAGGGATGGGGTTTGCCGAAGAAACAATGTCGGTGGATGGACCATTTTGGGCTTGAAAACAAAAAAAATAGACTACTAACATACTTTATGAATTGTAGGGATGAAATAAAAAAAAGAAACTATAAACAAGAGACGACAAATTTAATGTAATCTAAATTTAGGCATAAAAAGATGAAAAAGACCCTCCATGAGAGACACATGTCTAACTTAAGTGAGCCTCTTTTAACTGCGTTAAGTGAAAGATCCACTTTAGGCTCCAAAACATTAAATTTGGACAAACAATGTACTTCACAATTTGTAAAGACGAAAACCAAAAAACATTCATAAACAAATGACAAAAATGTAATTCAGTGTATATTGTATTAAGACAATCATTAGATATACTTTAGAAAAAAAAGTGATCATATTGTATCAATCATTATTGTATAAATTTGTGTTTGAGACATTTTTTTTTTTCTCTTTATGACTTAAAAGTTTAATTAATTCATATATTATGTTACAAAATATTTTGGTTTTATCTTATAACAACTTTTAGCTTTCTAAAAGTGTTAAAAGGATTATGTTATGTATTGTGTGGATCATGTAGGTACACTTCTAATTCTTAATATTGAATTTAATACGTTTAGTACTCATATACGCACACATAATACATGATCCACAATAAAAGATTTACGTAAAATGAACCAAAACCAATAAAATATCCTAACAATCGTGTCACAAGAAGCCGATGAGCAAATTTAAATAATCCAAATGATGAAGAAAGCGATATAAAACCCTCGTACTTACATTAAGAATCGTTTACTAAACACTTGTCGGATAAGATTTTCGATTATTAACATGCTTTCTGATAAGGTAAGTGACACCTGATAAACGTTTACCAGTAAAATTTGGTAAAAGGCATGTAAAAGTATAACTTTTGGCAATAATATTCTAATAATACTATATATCTATACTAGTATTCTATTATATTTTAGAATATTTAGATAAAAGCTTTTAAAATAATTAATTAAGTATTATGTACTTTTTAATAATAACGAATCACATAAATAAATTTGAAATTTCAGATTTACAGATAATTATTTTATAAGCACAACTTTTAAGAACTGTTTTTTAACTCCATAAAATTGGTCTAGCTGTATCCAATAAGCTCACCTCCTATAAATTAAGGGTTTAAATCTCATCAAAGATGAGAAGTGTGTGAGTTCAATCACCTACATACAAATATCATATACTTAAAAAAAACTACGTACATTGTAAAGCAAAGATGTAGGCATTTATAAAGTCATTTGACGAAAATCATGGAAGAGCATGCGAGTTGGATGGAAGCAAGTCGTCATATATAAACTATAGATGAAAAGAATTAAATGTTCTTCACCGAGGCTAATGGTATTTAGATTACCGATGAGCCTAAGTTACTAGTAAGTCTTGAATTAAGCCTCAACAAAAGTGAGAAGGATATATAAATTTATTTCTTATATATAATATTATATATTTTTGAAATATAGATGAAAAGTAATGTTATTCAAACCAGAAATAAGTCACTACTAAAATATCTGGTTTTTCCGACGGCAAAATCCGTCGGAAAAACCCCCGCCGCTAAATGCAATTTCCGACGGAATTTCTGACGGATTTGTATTTTCCGACGAAAAAATCCGCCAGAAATCCGTCCAACGATTTTATAATTTGTTATCCTCTTTCCGGGTTAATTAGAAGGCTTATAAAATGATATTAGAGTTACTGACGGAATTTTCGTCGGAAATCCGTCGGTAAACTTTTTCTATTTTCTTCCAAAACAATAATCAGTTTTTATTTCAAAAATAAAAATAACATTTTTCCGATGGAAATTCCGTCCGTAATTATATTTAAAAACTTTTTCCCTAATTTAAAATATGAAAATGCTTTTTATTTTTAATGGACGAAAAATATTTACCGACGGATTTTCCATCGGAAATCCGTCGGAGAATCCGCCAATTTTTTTTTAATAAAACTTATATCTAATTATTTACCGACAGAAATCCGTCGGAAATTTAGCTGGTACAGGAAAAAAAACCAAAAAATTCCTAAACTAAAATCCTAAAATATAAAGATTCTGTAAGTTAAATACAAATATACAATACAYAAATATGTCATAAATACCTAATATGATTATCCGGACGAAATAATATACATATATAAATTTGATTGATAATGCTAGTTCATAATACACTATATCAAATCTATTGCGGCGGGGTCGGCGGAAACTGTTGAGATTGTGTAAACCTCTTCATCATATCCATCATGTCTGCATGCTCTTTCTTCCGAATCTCATCTTCCCTGTTTCGGATCTCTTCTCGACG